CACAGTACAGATTATAACACCAGAGCTCCTAAATAATATCCTTAATGTATTAAAAATAGCAAATGGTATAACTAGGACCTTAAACCAGATTTATCTGAATGTCATAGCATATTCTGGGCCACTATGTTAAGGAGGCCTAAAAGGGAAATGTTTAAGAATCTGCTCATTTTATAGAAAGTTTGGTAGTATGAAACTACCTAATAGCTCTGCAGAAGAAAGACCCGGCAATATGTTTCCATAAAAAGCATAGTACAAAAAAGCATTCTGCTCTATCACACACAACACTATAATCAGGAATCTATTCAAAGGCAGCCAATAATTACTACCTCTCTCCAGGAAACTGATAAAATCACATTTATAATAGTAAAAGAAATGTGGTTGTAAACAAGAAAGGAAATGAGCAATAACTTTTAAATCACTTTCACTTGAGGTGAAAAAGTTCTTTGTAGTTAAAAGTCAGTTGAGTTCTGCCTAAGAGTCTCTAGTTTGTAGTCTCCTGTGTGAAGCTGTTGGTTTCTGGGAGTTAGGTTGTTTTGATTTAATTGACAGTCAGGTTGTTCATTTGAATAGATGTAAGCTTCAGGTAAAGGGTCGAGTCTTACGATGACTCCAAGTTGGTAGATTTTCCAACTATTAATTTAGATATGGGCAAATAACAAGGAGCCTTACTGATACAATTATTTCATTTTCAACTGTTAACCAGCATTTTGAACTCATCATCAGCTCCATGGGAGTGAAGGCCTGGCAATTTGCTCCATAAACATTTTAAGGTCAAACCAAACCCACTGTCATTGAGTCAGTTTCAATGATGCATTTTCTACTTTACTGTACAGGGTTCACTATGATTCAGAATCACTTCCACAAAACAAAATGTAACTAAATTCACCAATGAGACTAAGGACTAGTCTGCTGATAAACTTTTGGAAGTGTTTAAATTACTCATATTAAAATACATAGGGAGCTCTGGTGGTTTGGCGGTCAAGAACTGTGCTGCCAATACAAGGCACACAATTCAAATCCAACACCAGCTGCTCCTCAGGAAAAAGATGAACAAAATGTATCATGAAGGATGAGAAAAACAGAAACATGAACATATATGTTACAATAAGAATCCAAAATACAATTGTTAAGAGAGGAAAAAAGAGCAGATGTAATAACTGAATAATAAATTTAAGAAGTAATAAAGGTCAACAAATCAGATTCAAGAGGAACATGAATTCCAAATAAGAAAACGTAATAGAAATTTAGTTAAGACATATTATAGTAAAACTATGATCAATTAACAAAGATTTCAGGGAATGAACTATTAAAATCTGATTTTTAATGTCATTAGATTATATTACCCCAATTGCCACAGAGTCGATTTGAACCCTTGGTAGCCAAGGCTATCAGGACAGTACTTCACTCTATAGGGTTTTCCAATGCTGATTGTTAAGATCTTCAAGTATATTTTCTGAAGCACCTCTGGGTGGACTTAAAACTTCCAACTTTTGGTCACTAGCCAAGCAGATTAAACATTTGCACCACCCAAGAACTCTCATGAGTCATTCCAAAACCCATGTCTAGTCCTACTCATAGAGAGATGCATATCAAAACCATGTAAGATTACAACCTCACCTCAATTAAAATGGCTGTTTTTAAATAAAAGAATATAATAGATGTTGCTAAGAATTTGAAAAGCCCTCATGCATTACAGGTAGGAATGGAAAATAGGATAGTCATTGTAAAAAACTGGTAATTTCTCAAAAGGTTATACAGAATCAACTTATGAACATTAATTCCAGTGTTAAGTATATGCCCTAACGAACTCCCTGGACTAGGAAACAGTAGTCAGAACAAAGCAGGGAAAACGCTGGAAAGTTCAAAATCAGGAAAGGAATGTGTTAGGAATGTATCCCGTCTCCATATATTTTCAATTTATATGCAGAACAAATCATTCGGATCAAACAGATCATCAGGCTAGACTTTATGAGGAGGAATGTGGCATCAAGATTGGAAGACGACACAACAACCTACATTATGCAGATAACACAATCTTGCAGGCTGAAACTGAGGAGGACCAGAGCATATGCTGCAGAAGGTCAAGAACTGTAGTCTTCAATATGGACTGAAGCTCAACATCAAGAAGACAAAGATTCTCACCCTTGGGCCATCTGGCAGCACCATGATGGATGGAGAAGAGACTGAGGTTGTTAACAATTTCAGCTTGTTCAGCTCCACAATTAACACTCTTGGCACTAGCAGTCAGGAAATCAAATGACAAATTAGGGAAATCCACTGTCATGGATCTCTCCAAAGTGCTGACGTGGAAAGATGTCAGTCTAGAGACTAAGGTGAGCCTGATTCAGGCCATGGTCTTCACAATTAATTGCTACATAACAGAAAGCTGGACATTGACTAAGGATGACAGAAGAGAATGGATGCCTTTGAGTTGTGGTGCTGGAGAAGAGTACTGAACATACCATCACCTGCCAAGAGAATGAACAGGTCTGTCTTGGAAAGGGTGAAATCAAGCTGTTCCTTGGAGGCAAAGATTTTGAAACTCAGTCTCACATACTTTAGTCATGTGGCCAGGGGTCCTTGGAGAAGGACATCATAATTGGAAGAGTGGAGTTAAGCGCAGGAGAGGAAGACACCAGATGGGATGGATTGACACAGTAAATGGGATAATGGGAGTAGGTGTGTTGGAGTCAGTGAACCTGGCTCTCTAGATAGGGGAGGGTTCAGAGCTATTGTACATAGGGTTGCTATGAGTTGCAGGCAACCTCTATGGTACATGACAGTAACAACAGTAACCCTTGAGAAGTGAGAACAGAAACAAAATAAAATAAACTTGTACATATGTTCACTGCAGCACTACTTTTAATAGTGAATAGATGGAATTGACATGAACGTCTGTCAACAGTGAATGGACAAACAACATGCAATTCTTATATAAAATAAACTATCACTCAACCATAAAGAGACAAGATTCCCTGATGCATGCCACAATCAACATGAACCTTGAAAAATCAAGGTGAATTAAGTCAGTCAGCTACCAAAGGACAAATACTGTACACTCCCACTTATATGGAATATTAAAATATACAGAGAGGTCAAAGTTTATTAGTAGTTAACAGAATTAGAATGGAGAGAAAAAAGGGTGAGCCACTGCTAAGAAAGAAAGGAGTTTGATGGAGGCAGGATAATTTGGAAAACACTGGGAACTGTTGCACAACATGAGGAACATAATCATTATTCCTGAATTATACATGCAACAATTGTTTACCTGTTAAATGTTTTTTATATAATTTTTAAATCTAGTTAGAATCATTATAACATGAGGTTATCATATGAGCAAGCAATTCAGTTTAGTTCTTGAGTCAGAATTAAACAGTTGTTAAGGACATAAATATACTGACAATTTCATTTAGTAAACCAATTTCAAACCCTGACTCCACTACTTACATGCTGTGTGACATGTAACACAAGTTATCTTTCTACATTTCAGTTTCTCAAATTCATCTTTGTCACATGTAAAGTACACATAATGAGTGCTATTCTATCTATGTGTCTTCATTCAACTACCTAACAGTATATATAACCTAAACTCAAATGCACTGCTGTCGAATCAGTTCCTTACTCACAGTTACCATCCCTCAGGTTTCCAAGGCTATAAATCATAACAGGAGGTATCTAATCTTCTTTCTCTCTCAGAGTAACTACAAGAGACATGAAACTAATGCCCCCTTCAATAAGCACAAATTAATTTAAAGGCATAGTTAATTAAATCCCTAATATTTCTTCCAACTTGACAACACATAACAATGCTGCCTAGGTAAAAATATAAACCAAGATCTAACTTAGTTAAGTCAATTGAAACTGACCTCATAGTTTACTAGCAGTAAAATTTTATTATACTACTATATAACGTAAGTCTCCCCTACATTATAACAACATTTTATTTATTCGTTGGCAATATACTATTACATAAAAATAAAGAAGAAATAAGGATAATGACTGAAGTTGAACTAACAAAATATCCTGAAACAAATCAACTGTCTAATCTAGGGTAGTAGTGGTGGTGTTAGGTGCCATCAAATCAATTGCAATTAACAGTGATTCTCTGAGCAACTGAATACGATAATATTATTAAAAACAGCAATTGTTTCCATGAAATTTGGTTTATACAAATTAAATATTTAAAATTTAAGATAGTTTTTCCAATTCATCTCAAAAGGTTTTCAATTTCCTCCCATTTGCTTCCTTCTTCAGCGGGTTAACTAATGTTTAATAATAAACTCACACTGTCCTCAAACAGGTTATACTGGAAAAGACAAAGCTGAAAAAGGCAGGCAGACTGGAAAATCCAAACTTTGTTTATTATCCTGAGGAAATATTGGCTGAAAGCCAGATAGAGAAGTTATGCCAGAAGAAAGTCCTATCTTACAAAAATAATTTCCAGATTTCAATCCTTCCAAAAGAAATTTTTCTACCTTACAGCTGCTATACAGGGGGTTAGAATAGTCCCATTGTAGCCTGCTTAACCCTGCTTTCATCTCTACTATCTGCTATCTATCCTAAAACCATTTCAACTATTTTTCAATCCTTGAAGGTCAAGCCATAGCCAGCTTTACCAGACATAAAGAATAGCTTTAATAGCTACCTGAAAATATCTTTTCAAAGAACATAATCTTGAACACACTTATTTTATCCAGCTGTTACCATCAAAAAGGCAAATCTTGCTTTCTAATTTTTATCTAATTAAAAATGTGCCAGCATTATCTCAATTAAAAATTCTGTCAAAATGTAAGAAACTTATTATATAATGCTACCAAGGCCAAAGGACTGAGGTGTAATCTACTTACAAGACATGATGATGCAAAGCATAATATAAGCTATGTGTAGTAGTTTTATTTTCAAATAAATAGGCAAGTAAAAAATCATATAAAAATAAGAAAATTAAAATATAAGTTAAAAAATAAACAAGAACTTAGGAAAAACAAGCAAAATGAACTTACCAGCTTAATTGCCATCTATTCATTTGTGTATAAATTTTTCCCTTTAAAAAGAAAGAAAGAATGTCAGATTCTGACAGTAATTATTAAAGATATATAAAAAAAGAAAAAAGCTCTAATAGATTTTCAGCATAAATATTTGCTTTCATCTATTTTGCAAAAAAACTCAGTAACAAAAAAGTATCTACACTTACAATCAATTCAACAACCATGTTAGTATTTCACCTGTATTCAAAGTAGAAAACAACTCAGTCTACTTACAAAAATGGAAAAGTCTCATTTTGTTGGAAATTGTACACAATTTAGAAAACAATGCCAAATACATGCTTACCTAAATTTCAAAACCAAAAACTGCACATAAACAAAAGAATACAAAACTCTTCCTTGCAATTACCACTTCATTTTAAACCCTTTGTTATAAAAGTTCATAGTTAATTTATTAAGTATATCAAATTTGTGGAGAAAAAACCTGGAACACAGTTAAAATGAAATAAAGTAATAAAAGTTTTATTTAATAATTGTCTCTGACAAACTAATACTTTGAGATAAAAAGGAACGATTAGAGTCTCCACCCCTAACTAAATTAAAATGCTAAAAATAAGCTGAAAAAAGAAGGTATTGACAGGAAAATCTATTTATCAGCTTAATATAGAGACCTTTTTCTATGTATAAAAAGATGATAAAGAATAAAATAAAGAATATTTTACATAGGTTTGAGTATATAAAAAATTTTAAACTTCTGAATGTGCATTAGAAAAGCTTATTACATACCCAAAAAAGTGACAAACCAAAATAAAAATTTAGTATGACTGACATATAAAGAACTCAAATAAATTAACAACAGTTTGGAACCCTGAAAAAAAATTATCTAGAAAATGTTAATGAGTATTAGATCTATTGTCCAAGTAGACCATTATGGGGCATTTCAGTATTTCAATACATAAATGAATATAATTTGACATATAAATTAAATTTACACATTTTTATTACAATAATAAAATAATCTGTTATTTCTGAATTTCTAATATTTTTTCAGAAAATATGTACCACTTTCATAATAACTAATCAGAAGACTAACTTGCCTTGATTGTACTGCACACCCAGGAAAAGCAATTGTCAACTTTCATACATGAGATTTGTCCAGCATACCTCCTTTCACACATCAGATGATAAATGGTATCAGGACTTCCAGGCAACATTTCAAACTTAAATGTATTGTCAATTTTGTACAGTAGTGTTATTCCTGCAAGTATTTCAGTATTTCTCTGAATTAATTTTATTTTATAAAAATAGTTGGAAAAAAACAACCAGCTAACTAGCATAGGTCTCATAAGTGTCTACTATTGACACAATGATGAAGTGCAAACAATCAATAACCACCCATTGCTGCTGAGCTGGAATTGGCTCATAGCTGACCATCCAGCAGGTTTTCAGAGGCTGTCAATTGCATGGGAAAAGACTGTGTGTCTTTCTCCCATAGAACGGCAGGCAGATTTGAAACAGATGACAGAAGAATTGACACCTTTGAGTTGTGATGTTGGAGAAGAGTACATGGAATACATCCTATAGACTGCCAAACAAACAAACACTTATGTCTTGGAAAAAGTACAGCCAGGGTGCTCCTTGGAGGCAAAGTTGACAAAGCTTCATCTTTCATACGCTGGACATGTAGCTAAGTGAGGCTATTCCTTAGAAAGGGACATCATGCTTGGGAAGATGAAGGGCCAGACACTCAACAAGATGGACTGACAGGGCGACTTCAGCAATGGGTTCCAGAGTGTCAGAGATGGTGAAGATAGCACAGGATAGGCCAGGGTTCAGGTGAGATGTTCATAGGGTCGTTATGAATTGTGCTGCAATCAATAGCACCAAACAATTGGGTTGACAGCACAATTACTTACCAGTATGTTATCAGAGTTCCCAAGGAACACTAAAAATTATGAGTCTTAGAGGTAGTTTTCGGTACTGACTGAACCATGTATCAATATATAAAAGCGGTATTAGAGATTGCTTCATGTTTTAGCAACACTTTAGCATTTAGATGTACTCTTATATATATATATTCTGAAGAACTTTGTTGTTGTTGTTATG